CCATTTCCCGAGATGGAGAATGCTGCAAGATGCTTGCTAACAAGCATTTTGGGGGTTTGTTTTTTTCTTGGCACAGGGAAACAAAGGGAAAGCACCTGTGTGACTCGTTTAGGTCATACAGAGGAAAGTTCCAGGTAAAGGCTCACATCACCAGGGTAAAGGTTACCAGTGTGGAGATAGGATGGAGAGAGAGAGCCAGGAAAGGGCCAGAAACAAGAATTGTTGCTGAAATTGTGGAGCCAACCCTGGGTTCTCCCAGAACCTTCCTTCTCTTCGCAAGAAATCAAGCTCCTTTCCCTTTGCAGACAGGCCTGGGATGTTATGGCTACAGCAGCAATGTAACAACAAAAACCACCACACAATTTTCTTGTTTTCCTATCAATCGGCAGAAATTATCTTTATTAGAAAAATGAAATTTCCCTGTATTTACATTTTTACACCATATGGACGGCACTTCCATTGCCTTGGAAGTTATGTACACCTCATTTTATACACACATTTCAAACCCCATTCCTTAAAACAGTTGATAACACATTGAACAAAATTAAAAGACATACTACAAGAAGACAACCATAATATATACTTCCTCTATCATAGAAAGGTGTTAAGCAAACGTGTAGTTTTGTAGCTATGCTTGGAAATATTGAATACAGTTATTAGCACTTCCTCATGCAGTGGATTGAAACATGACAGATATAAGCTGCTGTGGTTGCTAGGTGAACATTTATTCCCAAATGAAGACCCACTGAGTGGAACACGCAACTTGCTCTGGGCTCCACCACATGAGAGATCAAGCTATTCTTGGCATGGGTTTTAGGCAGTGTTTGAATGTGGCTGTGAGTAGGAACGCTCAGCATATGGAGTTCAACCCCATTCGTATTTGATTAGAACAGGATTCAGACATAAACCTTACATGTAGACTGCTTAATTAAAAACTCCCTTCTATGCAACAAGCAGCTCAGGTATTACACAACAAGTCTTACAACAGGGTGAAAAATGAATTGGTCACACTCTTTCTACCTGGGGTCATTTTTCAAATCATCTACTTCTTATTCAAGTCATTAATGAACTCACTTCGCTCTTTCTGAACATTCACCTGAAAATATATGTTCCACATAAAAATATAAACATTCCAATGTTGATTAAAACTGATGAATTCTACTGCTTAATTGGGCCAGCATATTCTTTAAAATTTATTTTAGCAGGAGAATAAGACTAACATTCATAGTTTAAAACAAGTGGTAAAGAAGTCTTTGAGAACCCTCAGGCTTAGAAATTTTCCAAGCCACTATTACCCATGGAATTCTTTTCCAATGAGTGTGTTATTCTTGACCTAATATCTTATTTTTAAAATAGGCAACTGACATCCTTTTCCAGTGAAAAATTGGGAAAGTGTGAATGTTACATGTTCCACTTTCACCTTCCCAAATCTATGAGAATTTTCAAAGATCACTTGTATTTATTACCTGAACCTTTTATTTTTTAACTGGAGTATTTTCCACAAATGGCCATGGCCTCAGAGCTATGTCTACAAACCTAATAAACTGAAGGTAAAAAAAAGTAAAATAGGTTTAAAAAAATCAATAGTGTTCATTCACTTGAATTAGCTTGACTGAGAATCCAAATAATTCAATAAGTCTTAGAAGGCTAACATAAAAACCTCAGTTCAATTCAAAAGGCTGTGATTGCTTGTTGAGGAAAAACTGACAATGGTTTTATATTTCTGGACCATCACATTTTGCTCAGTTATCAATAGTTTTTGATTTGAGCCCTTTAAAAGCTTGAAACACCAAAATGTCAGATCAATGAGAAGCATTTAGAATGCCAAAGACAAACTTAAATTTGCTGGGGAACAATTAACCTTATTAATTGATAAAGGCAGCTGTGGTATTGGCTATGCGTTATGTTAATATCCTAGTGAAAGTTCACCTTAAATCCTTCCCAAAGGTTTGAAAGAGGATTAACTGGAATGGGTTATGACCTGGGGCTACTGCTAATGAGGAATGTTCTAGAATCAAAAGGTGTAAACCCATTGTTCACTGACATGGTAGGTCAGAGAGATTTACACTCAGTTTTGTCTTGTTTCTGTAGGCTGCTGTTAACCTCATTTGAGGACGGTAATCTGAGCGATGGCTCTGTTTTAAACAGTTTGGTTGGGTTGCCTCAGACAGCTGTGGATTTTGAAATGTGACTTCGGAGGAATCACTTTGGGCTGCTCCATTTCTGCACGGTCCAGCATACCTTGGGTGGACCTTGTCATGAACTTGCAGAACCCAAAACAGGATCTCCAAGTGACCCTTCAGTGACAATCATAACCTAGTGTCTTTAGAGACATTTTACTGCCAGCTTGAAAAACAGCTGAAGAATTCTCCTCAGGTTCAAAGATTCTCCAGGATGAGTACAAACAGCCTCCCAGAAAAACATTCCTCCAAATTCCAGATCCATTTCCTCATTTGCAGAATGGGTATAAAGTGCTTCACAGTCAATAGAAATGCTAGAAAAGCCGTGCAGCTTAGAAATGGGGGCAGGGGAAGCAAGGCATGCGTGGCTCCCTGGCTTTGCCTGCAGAATGCATGAAACATGACATCACTCTGGGCTCCTGGCAAGCCAGATGGAAACATTCCAACTGGACACTCTGGACCGAACAAACCGAAGAGACATGCGACGGTTCAACAGTCATCCTGACATTAGTGACCAGGAAAGCATTTCTAAGGCAATTTGAGAAAAAGAAAGAACAGATCAAGGAAAAAAAAAAAAACAACCACCACATTTAATAGCGGGCCCTCTGTCATTTCGACTACCTCAGCTCTCAGTGCAAAATTCTCTTATTCCCTGCTCTACCTCTCAACCGGATACTTGCTGCTTGTCCAAGACAACCAAGAATGTGGATGAAACAGGAGGGAACAGCCAACTTGCAATGGACATGACTTCTTTGAAAACGGGTCACAATGTTGAGGGAGAGTTTGAAGAAGGGTCACAGGGCAGTGTGTGTATGCATACTATGTACATATGTTTCATGGAATTAGCCCTGATGTTAACTCTAAAAGAAGGTTAGGAAATGGATAGTTAAGATTAGGCACATGCTAAGTAGAGAAATTAACTCCCTAGGAACCAAAAAGAGAAAAGCTAAATGGCAAGCCTATGGAAGGGCAGAGACACAACGAATGTTCAGGCTTAGAAGGGGCTGAGAAGAGCAGGGAGAGCCTCAGGAGTTCTTTGTATACCCAAACCAGACAACCAGGGATAGGACACTAGCGCCCCCTCATTATAGGAACCCCAGGGACCTCAACACTGCCTCTCCCTCTCTCTCTCTCTCTCTCTCTCTCTCTCTCTCTCTCTCTCTCTCTCTCATCTATTCTGACCTCCCAGGAGATCAGGCACTTTGAGGGTTTTTTTTTCTCACACTAAGGATGGATAAGCTGATTCATGGCACGGATGAGGTTTGGGGGCAACCTGAGCCTTGGTTTCTTTACTCACAAAATGGGACTGATTCTCTTTCTGTCCTAAGGATCTTTTTAGCTTACATTCTAGGCTGTACCTCGAATGCAGTCTACGCTCAGCTACCATTATCTCCCAATTGAGGTGCATGTACTTATCCAAAGTAGAGAATCCAGGGTTCCAATAATGCACTGAATGAGGTCAATGGAGCACAAAATAGCTCCACCACCACCCCAAAACTTTCCTGAAATACACCTCGATTCCTTTTGTCACCTATTCACCCAGTTTTCTCTGTGGGGCACTTAGCACCTTTTACCAGTCATAACAGCAGGCACTTGGGACTCAACCAAAAATTCTCCCTCGACCTTCCCTGACACATTCATACCCTGGACTATCAGAAGCGTTCTTCACTTGTTGGAAACAAAACCAAACAAAAATACTCTTTGGAACTGTTTTATCTTTATAACACATTCTATTTCCTAATCCTTTGAGGATTTCTTCACCTTTCCCCCCTGAAAGCACATGCCATGAGCAATGATGGGAGGAAGCATGGTCTGGCAAGGGGTAGAGAATTGGTTGGAATCAGATCTAAGTCTACATATGCAAAAGTGCAGAATGGTGAGAGTTTGTTCTGGCAGCTCCTCCTGGATTTCCTCAGAGCCTTCTCGAAGGTGTAAAGTGAAGCCTGTTTCCAGGAGCACCAATTGATTCTCTAGTGACTTAAAAGGTTTGGTTTACAAACTTAAAAAAAAAAAAACAAAACCTTGATCATGGAATGAGATTCATTCAATGACATCAAAATTTCTACTTTTTACTGTTTAGTCTGTGTTTGCATTTTTGTGGGTCCTCATTTTTTTTTTGTATTAAAGAACTGAACTTCTAAACCATAATCTTAGGAGAATATATTTCTATTCCCCGATCGTCTCCCCAAACCAAAATTGGCCTTTTGGGGGAAAGGCTGAGCGACCGGACATGAAGCCATGTCCTGTCTGGACTTGTTTCATCTTCAGCACGTGGGGAACAGAACCCTGTTGTTTCAGTGCTCACTGTGGCTTCTGTCTTTGGTTTGAGATTTTAAATTATATCCCTCATGGACTCTCCCCAGGGTGAGGGCTCCTGCAAAGGCTTTCTTTCCCCCTGGGCTCTTGAGACAGGGATGGCCAGGGGAGCTAAACAGAAATCCAAACTCAAAAAGGCTTGCACGGATCTGCATAGGACATGGGACAAAGAAGGCCAGGTCAGTTCTAGGGGCTGAGCCTTGATACATAGATACTCAGGAGTGTTCTTACTAATGGGAAAGGGAAATTGAGGCAGAATTAGGACTGTGGAATCATGGGTTCTAGTCCCAGCTCTGATCCTCTCTTACCCTGATAATCTTGTACAAGGTTATTGCTGCTTTGAAGATTCGACTTTCTCATCTCCCATCCTCTTCCCCAAATCTTGATATAGTCTAATAAATGATATAAATTCTGTTCTCTCCAGAACCTTCTGGGCATCAATAGTCTACTAACAGTACTTCTGGGTATAAAAATAGAAGGGCATGGGAAGGGGATGAGAAATTCAAATAGGAAATCTATGCCCTCTGATGGCTTTCCAGAAATCACACACAAAATCCCTGTTAAACAACATCTTCAGAACGGAAATACAACCGGGGAGTGTGCATCCCATGCCCCCAGCCTCTGATTTTTGCTTTTGAAAGAAGGGGTTAAGAACACCAACTCTCAAATCCGACTTGGGCTCCATCATCCTCCCTGGAAATGAGATTTAAAAAAATATAGTGTCCTCTCTACAGAAATATCCTCCTATCAAAATAGCCAGAGTGGGTTTTCCATGTGTTAATACCATATTACCATTTAACTTTTAACATAAATTTTACAATATGTACAATTCATTTGGATAATAATACATTATGTGTGAACTGTAGAAACCAAGCGTGTATATTATGTACATGTGTACACGGGCGTATGTATTCACAGGGTAAGTGCATTTGATCGTCTCTTATCTGTGTCAAGCAGAAGGTTGACCTTATCTGACACATTCAGATACAGACACAGTACAACGAGGAGTGGCTGAATGAAAAGGGCAACTGCACATTGGGAGAACCTTCCAAGGGCAGATCCCACGTGACCTTTCATCCCCAAGTTCGATCCTGTTCATCAAAATAACAGGGGGGGGCGGTAATCTGGAAAGGTCTGATTTTGACTCAAGCCAAAAGCAACAAGGACTTTTGGGATGAAAACTGCCTTGATAGAGAACCCCACAAATCATATTAAAAACCAACCCGAGAATTCAGCTTCCACTTGCTTTTTTTTTTTCTCCAAGTTCAATTATGTCCACCATAGCCATGGGTTACTACAACAACTTCGGAAACAACCCATGTCCCCACCACAAGCATTGCTACACAACAGCTGTGTCTGAAGAGGCAGTACAGGAATGTGCATGTTGTTACAGATATATCCTGCTCCTCAGAAAGAGACTTAGGTTTCTCGAACTAGTATTTATTTCGGTCTGAAACCACAAGGGATTTCAGTGCAAGGTATTTATTTATATGACAAGTGATTATTAAAGTTGCACTTTTTAGTTTTAAAGGAGATAAATTTTTAATCACCATTTAATTAACACCAACTTTTTTTTTTCTCTTTTTTCATTAGCAATTCTATTTGCAAAGAATTCAGGGCATTTGTCATTTCCTGAGAAGGATGCGGAATATTAAACACACATCAGTGGTAGACATATCAAATAGAATAAACAATGTGTGACTGCAGGACTGCTGTGGATCCTTTGACTAATTAACTGGCTTGGCTCAGGTCCTATTTAAATGAAACTATTTCATTTGTAAACAAGGTGTAATTTTTTTTCTCTCCCAGAAAATAAGCATGAACTGATTTGACAGGTTTTGCTGCAACGGGTGAATTTTAACATGTTCACCAAAAAGCTAAGTATTGAAACTCCTCAGGCACCCTACAAAACAGGGAAGAGAAAATAAAGTATGTTCTATGAGACACCCAAGTGCTGGTGCTGGCTGGAATGAAGCAGACAGATTTGCAGAGGACAGAACAGCAATGTGGAGGTGAAAGAATAAGCCTTTACCACTCATGGGAGTCTCTCTGGTAGGAAGGTAGGTCCACTGGGGGGCTTGGTTGCTCCCAGCATTACAAGTGTCAGGATAAAGGCAGTGGTCTTCCAGAAACACGAAGGTTTCCCAGAGTGGGACCCTTGGCCCAGCGGACTCTCTTTTACAGAGAAAATTTCAAACTGGTCTCCCACAAGTGCTACTACTCATGGACAGAAGCGTGACCACATGTGTCAACTTATAACTGGCAGCCAACTGGCTGGGAAAGACCCTGAGAGTTAATGAGATGTCGTTGATGGTGGGAGTTTGGTTAAGTTAGACACGGATCTCTGGGTTCAGATTGCAGTTCCTTGGGATCCATCAAGTCAAGCGCACTAGAGCTGGGCGGTGTCATAGAAACCCCTCCCACAGTTTAGGGACCCTCCCACATTGTGGGTGCTGTTTGTTGTTGCACACGAGCTTTCTACGATTCTTCAAATAACTGAACTGATTTGGAACACCATTGCATAACTCTGCTTCACTATCTTCCATTGGGAAATCAATCCTTGGATCAGTGGTTTATTTATTTATTTATTGGTGTGGGACCATCACATTTATGACTCAGTGAATTGATGGAGAAAGGAAAATTACACAGCCAAGGATAGCCAGTTATTTGTTAAAACACTACCATTATTAAAATAAGTGTATTTTTTTCACTATAATACTTGCTGGCTACACCCAAAGCCACATTCTCACTTCCTTTATCCAGAGGTGTAAGGGATTCAGTGTAGGAAATAATGCTGTGATTAGGAGAAGGCTTTTTGATCGATGAATGTAATTTGCACTCACCCTGGAGATTCTGTGGCATTAAGCAGCACCCCTGGGTTTTGAAGACACAAGACAAAGACAGAAAGCCTCTTTAGATGGATGACATTGCTGCTCTGTATTCTAGGGAAGATTTTTAAATTCACTGCATGTTAAGACACGCCAGCCCAGGACATGGAGGTGCTCTTAGCTGAGGAACACAAATCTGGAATGCCATGGGAGGACAAAGGCAGGAAAGACCGACAGGGCTCTATGGTCAGAGAAATTTAAGATCAGAAGTTGGGGTGACTGTTCAAAGTCCTTCAATTTAGGCTTCTTCCTTGCCAGATTTTGGGGCAGCAAAATTCAGCATCTTGAAATAAAGCATAATTTTCCAGGATGCTGGTTATCAACACTTGTCAATCCCTTCTGCCTTGCAAAAATGGATAGGAAGATGTCTTCACTCCTTGCTTATCTCTGCCCCTTTACTACTGACCCTGAAATGTACTGCAACTACTTTTTTTTTTTTCCATCAATATAGAGCTTCCCCCAAAGAACCAAGCCATTCAAGATACTCCTCAGTAATAAGACAACGGTCCCTGGCACCTGCCCACTTGTAGGAAAACATTACTTATGAAGCAGAACACACCAGAAGAATCGGGAACGATGCTTCACTCTGCCACCCTGTCCCTTTCTCTACGAACTGAAAGTACAACTCAGGAAGAAGCCAGGAAACAGCTAGGCTAGCTTTCATTAGCTTAAAACTTCACCCATCAGATCAAGGCTCTCTGCGTATGTTGATGGCTGCTCACCCCACACACTTCAAGGACACAAACACATCTGAAATGCACTCATAATTAGGGCGCACCATCATAAGATGTTTAATCAAGTTGGCTGATTTTATGGTATTTAGTTTTTCAACTAGAAAACTCTAATCTGATAAAACCACACTCTTTGCAGGGCCCTTTTTATGAGTCAGGTAGTGGGCTAAGAAGCTCCCCAGGCAGACATACTCCCACCTCTATCTCCAACTGTTTTGAAATGAGTGTCATCCCATGCCATACATGCACAAGTCTCTGGAGAACAAGAGTGGGATAGTGTAGGTGACTCAGAAATGACAAATGCTTTGAGGAATTCTTCCTGTATCGCTGTTGGTGGCTGGTGATGCGTTCTGCCTCCAATAGAACTCTGTTTCAGAAGCGAGAAACCAGTCGTTTAGCAAAATTTATCCACCGTTTGGAGAAGGCTTGGGGTGGAGACAGGAGTGTCTCATCTTTTAAAGGTTTTAGATTTAATGGTGTGATCGAGGTGGAGATCCTGTCCAACAGAACTCCATGGGATCTAGGGAGATAAAACCGCAACCTGTGCTACCCTTCGGCAGACAGATGGCATTGCACTTCTGACGAACCACAGTATACATATGGCCGTTGGCGTGTGTCATCACATTAACAACTCTGGGGACAGCAACACACAGCTAATTAGACACCACATGGCTGCCTGGGGGGACTGGACGAGCTAGGGTCACTCTGGGAGGGAAAGGGTAACAGATACTATACAACCCTGAGTCGTCACCGGAAGGAAATGCAAGCTTACATACACAGAAGTCTTCGGGTAAATTACATTGGCCACCGGGTCACAGATGGGAGATCTACACTTAGATATCAAAGACAGAAACGTGTAAGTTTATGCAGCACTGAACAAGACCATCAAAGCCAAGGACAAAACACACATATCAACGTCCAAGGGGATCCCGGTAGCTCTGTGCCTGAGGATGCCTCCTCGGGCCTTTTGCTCCAGACCTGTCTTGGAAATGGACTCTAATGAAGGTAGCTTAGTTACCATAAACACACCAATTTGTTATTTTCTGGGGTTGTGGTGGGGAGGGAGGGTACATCCTGGAGTTCTTAGGGTTGGGCCTGGATGTGACAGTGAAGGCATAACAAGAAAGCTGGAACTGTTACAAGCCAAACTTCCTAATCTCTTGCACATGTCAATCTCGCTACAGTGCAGATGCAATCTTAAATTTATTTTGTCTGTGTCAGGTTTACATGCATACCATATTGCTTAATCTGTATTAGAGAAAACCATTAGGCATTTCAGATGGGGAAATTACACGGTGGACTGATCTTAATGGCATTTGGAATATAGGAAAGCATAACATCGCCACCAACATTTGGTGTATCACTATTGCCAACCTACCTGGTTAGGCATGCCCAGGATACATGCCCTTATCTGTTTGTTTTGGTTAAGGACTCATCTATCTAAAATCTGCCATGCTCAGCATACACCTCAAAAGATTCCTTGAATGGAAGATTATGGCACGGAGCCATGGTCAAAGAGCCAACACAGATACCTCCCTACACCAACTTCCTCTTCGGACATCCAACTCTTACCCTCCAGAACACTGGCCATTACGTATGTTTCCCTATAGATGAAACATTAATGGGAGATTTTTAAACATCAGATTCGATGCTAGGCATTTTCTTGTACACACGTCTATTGCTGCAGGAGTTTAAAACCCTGGGGGTGGAGTACATATTATTCTTATTCGCAACATAAGGCATAACATGCTCTGAAATGTACACGTCACTGTGGCCCCGGCTGTCCCTGGAACAGTACGATGCCGTTGACCTCAAGGACGAGCGCAGGTAGCTGTCGTTCACTGCCTGTGATGGCAGTGAGTGTTTATAGGGGTCCGAGGGGCATCTCCCAATTACTAGGCGCTGGTCATCCCCATAGGAGTGAAGGAAAGGGTTATCGGATGTGTGGTCCGGCAAGAGAGACTTGCTCCTCTTGCTGTCCTCCAGGCCTTGGGGGAAAAGGGAGGTTTTGTTCCCTAGGAGTTTGCTTGAGGGCACACTGAACAGGCTTCCATACAAATTTCCTTCCAGAAGCCTTTCCCGGTCCTTGAGGCTTATGCTCCGGGAGGGCTTGCTAAGGTCTAGCTCCCTGGGCTTGTCGAGAATGTTATCGTAGGAATGCTGCCGGCTAATCCTCAGCTTGTTCTTTTGCAACTGGAGGGCGTTGTTCTGTGCCCAATCTTGCTGGTAGGCCTCCTCCTGGCTGGTAGGGTTGCCCGTCTCCTGGAGCATCTGATCCTCGTCGATGTCATAGAGGTTCCCCATCCGCAGGCAGGCGTCACACTTGAAGGGAGACCGCATGGTGAAATGGCCCGAGTAGGTGGGCAGGTTGGAGAGGCAGCTCCGGCAGTGGGTGGAATTCTGGCGGTAGCGGTCACTGCCCTCGCTGTGAGGGGACCCCTTGTCTCTCAAGGTGAAGTGCTTGGGGTAGAGCTTGTGCTGGTCGTTGTTCGGCAGCCCGTCTTCGTTGTGCAGCCGGTTCCTGTTCATGGGCAGCGTGGTGTCCGCCTTGCGGAAGCTGTTGCTGTGATCCTGGTAGGGGTCTGGGAAGTCCATGTTCTCGGGGAGGGCTGTATTTTCCACAAACTGGGGCGGGTCTAGGTGAAAGCTGGGCTCCTTCTCGCCATCGATAGTATAGATCTTGTCCCTGGGGGAGCTGGCTTTGGTTTTCAAGTAGGGTCGCTCGACCTCACTGCAGTCCTTGGGGTACTTGGAGGCCGCAGATCTCTTGAAGTTGTCCTTGGTTTTGTGGTTCTTGTTGTTGTCTGGGTCCCTGTGGCAGGTGGCCCGGCTGGAAGCCTCTGAAATGTCAGAGTGAGCCACCTCTTCTGGGAGGTACCTCGGACTCTTGAGGGAGTGGGTCCTGTTCTCCGCCGGTCCCTCCTCCCTCTGGGAGACCGGATTCTGAGGCAGTGAATCCTGACGCAGGGATTCCATGGATTTCTTCCACAGCTGCCTGGGTCTGGAGTTTGCCTTGGATTCTGTGCTCACAGCTACCTCCACCGTGTTGGGGTTAGACTCATTGAGAGTGAGAGGGTGCTGTCCCTGGAACACATAGTTGTTGAGGCTGTCCTTGTGCCTGTTGGCCACGAACGTCTGGAGTTCGTTCATGTTTTCCCCAAAGATGCTGTCTTTCCCCTGGAAAGATCTGTTGTCCGAGTAGATCAAGTTCCCCTTATCGGAAACCATGTCCATGATGAGGGAGCCTCTTTGGATGAAGTCAGCAGTTCTTTTGGGGGAATCCATCCTGGAGGAAGAGTTCATGTTGGACATGTTGGAGATGTTCTTGGCTGAGCGGAGAAGTTTCAGCATGTTGCTCTGGGACCCGGTCAGATTGAAGTCGGGAGACTTCTTCTTCTCTTCGATGTGCACTCCGTGAATGCAGCTGTAGATGCCCTGTTGGGGAGGAATATACAATACCATCAGCAGTAGCCATAGCAGTGCCCTCTGAGGCATCTCATACCTGACCTTCACCTGCAAGCAGGAGACAGCTGCTCCTTGCAGGAGCCCCTGGAGAGACAGCCAAATTCATTCTGAATCCTGATCACATTTGTAAGATAAATTGCTGAGCATCAAGTTGATCCTGTTGCTCTTGTGCGGGGTTACTAAACACCTTGGCAGAGAGTCACACGGGCAGTTTGCAAAAAGCCATCAGCTGATGCTCATAGGACTACTCATGGGTCAGCAACTCCAAATTGGCATACCGGGATATGTCATTGACCCTCCCGACACTCAGTTCACCCAGGCATGCTTTATCTAAAGCTCCCAGCATCGTCTCTAGAGGATGGATGGATGCCAGAGAGTTAATTGTTGATGAACTAAGTTCAGAAGGATCACTTATCATTCATTCTTTTCTGGAATAAATTCCTCCGCATGTGCTGAAGCTATTGACAAAAGCACATGACCCAAGCAGTACAAACAGCACCTGTATTTTCCTGTGAACAAAATGATTGCACTTAGGAAGGAAGGCCATGTGAGGACAAACAGACATTTTGGAGGGAGTGATATAAATAAATACTTAAATACTAAAAGGCAGAGCACCAGAGGACAAAGGGACAGACAGACAGACACACACACACACACACACTCTTTGAAGCCCTGTAGACAAACATTTAGATGTTCTTACTGAATCCACTCAGCGTATTCTCTGTGCAAGTGTCTGATCAAGGTGGTTGGATCTGGTTCTAGCTTCCAGCAGTAATGGCAGAGAACACTATGGACAGGTGAGGCCAGCTTCAATCCCTCCATGGAGCTGAATGACCCCAGGACTCGTGGGCAGCTCAAACACAAGCACCCCTCAGATCCCCATCTCCTTGGCTTCCACTCCTTTCTTTCTGAAAAATAACTGTTTTCATTTCAAGCAAAGCAACCAGGGAGTGCCACCAAGAGAAAAGCTCTTGATTCATGCCATGGTAGCAGGTAAAAGGGCATCAGTGACAATCTGATTGGTTGCCCTTCTTGCCTTCCCTCACATCCGCCCTGGATGTTGGCAGCTGCTCCTAACAGAAACAATCGGATCAAGACTGCTGGCTTTGACCTCGTTCTCCCAAGAGGGATGGGTAGCCAACCCAAGGAGGGGTTTGGAAAGCAGACTCACTTGGCAGCTGCTGCTGAATTTGGCATGCATGCCAGCAAAGTGTGCGTGACCATGGCCTCTGATAATGGTGGCCCCGCTGGTCTGTGGCAGGGATGAGCTAAACCCTCGGAGGAGGCTAGGTAACTGTGGCAGCCTCGATGCGGCTGGCAGTCTACCAAGGGATAGCAAACAGCACAAGGGCTGCAAGTTTGAGCTTCTCCTCCTCTGATCCTCCCCACCCTGGGGTCCCTGAGGCTCAGGGCACTGGCGCTGTCCACTCTCCCACCTTCCTGCAACTCCCCAATTTCCTTGTCTAGGGTGTACCTCCTCCCTATCGTTCCCAGGGATGCTGGAGCTGTCTGAGTGTGGATGCGGAACTCATACAAACAAGCTGTGTCTTTCACACGACACAGGGTTTCTTAACCTCTTGCAGCGACCTACATCTTCCCCACTCAATTTTATTATACAATGAGCTGATGCTCTGACCTGAAAGGGTCCTGCCACCTGGAGTGAACATCTGGTTGGCTCCCAGATGTTAGAATCAGTAAATGTATACGTCCTTTCTTCCTGTCATTTGTTTTATGACAACAGTCATTTTCTACCCACTCCGCCTCCCCCAAACTTGCATTTGATCCCAACAAGGTCTCTCTACGGTCCCCTGGAGATTCTGTGGTTTGCCTCTGCCCTGTCACCCTTGGAGCCATCTGCTCCCACCTGCCTGGAGGAGTCAGTCCTCTTTGTTTTTGCAGGAAGCCCACAGACATGGTCAGGGAGCTGAGTTATGTTTCTGGAGACAGGAGGATGGTTGCCTATCGCTTATCTCCTCTTTCATTTTCTGGGGATGAACACAACATAGCTAAGGCCATTCGCAGGCATTGATGTGCCTGGCAGAGTCAAGAAAAGGAGGCAAAGAATCAGGATGGCAGAATAGGGTAAGGACACGTTTAAATGGATGGAGTAACAATTAATCAGGATGAAGCAGAGAGGACACATTCCAGGAAATAGGAGAGGACAACAGCAGAGGGGTACCAGGGGCTGACAGACACAGGAAAACAGCGGACACAACAGTGACTGATACTCCAGCAGCATTCAGCTAACAGAGATCTGAACTCCACCAGTAGCCAGAATTCCACCAGCAACCAGGAGGAAAGGGACTTTCACTGGGAGCTTGGGAGGTGAACCCAGACAAAGAACTGTCCATCCTGCTGGTCCGTTTGATTTGACCAGGAGCAGAGACAGAGCAGCAGATCTCAGACGGGCAGTGCGAGAACAGGGTGGATTTCACAGCCCAGTCAGCCCCTAGAGCTGAATTGGGCGCCATTTTGCATAAGGAGGAAAAGGCAAGGGAAAGGACGGAGCATGTGCTGAGCTGGGAGTGAGCTCATTTCTGATTCAGTGAACTGCATCAACGTGGCATTCTACGGGTTCCACCAAGGGCAGGTCTGGGTAGCCCTAAGACCTGATGGCCAGCAGATCAAGAACTCTAGTAGTGGTATGTCAGGCGCCATTTTGTACACTGCAGCAAAAGCTTTAGGGCTGCAGGGGATAACAGTGAACAGCGCATATGCTGATCTTGCGAGAACTCGCTGAGTTCCATGGATTGCACTGGTCCCACAAGGAAAATAATACCGACTGTGGCATCATACAGGTCAAAATAGGTCCATGTGGCACCCAGACCTAACGTCCAACAGGTTCCGGCAAGATCAGCGCCACCAACAACCTAGCTATCTAGGACATCTGGTGTCGCCCTAATCCTGGGACCTGCTCCAACCAGCAGTGGGAGAAAGGTTGTACAGACAACAGTGCAGCCTCAGCACAGGATCGCAGGAGGTGGAGAGTGGTGAGCCAGGAGCTGGGGCTACGGAGTTCTTTGTGGAAATCTAACATAAGAACCCAGACCTGGAACTTGCTGGAGGGAGTGACACAATTGGCTGCAATCAGAGAGTTGTGTAACAACTGCAATAAGTAAAATTAAACTGTGTACCTGTTGGTGACACAGCTTAGAAACCTGTACCAAGGAGAAGACTCTGCTAACCAGAAGTACAATGACCAAGAGCAAAAAAAAAAAAAAGAGACAAAGGCACAATATTACTGAAAACTCCCCTGCAAAGGAACAAAACCCTATGCCAACCTCAGAGTTAACTGAGGAAGACATCGAGAAAATGGGGGACACAGAATTCAGAAAACTCATTTTAAAGCTTATGATCAACAATGAGAAGCACATACAAGCGTTCAAAGAATTTAAGGGATATTTTACATAAGCAATAGCAGCAATAAAGCAAATCAAGACTGATATATCAGAAATTAAGAACACAGTAGAGCAAATGAAAAATACAGTGGAGAGTCTCCAAAATAGAATGAAGTAAGCAGAAGAAAGAATCTCAGAATTCGAAGATATTCCCTGTCATCCGGGGAAGCAAACAAAAAGCTGGAAGCAGAGCTGGATCAGGACAAAAAAGTATTCAAGAATTGAAAGACACTATTAAGACGCCAAATATAAGAGTTATGGGAGTCCCAGAAGGTGCATAAAGAGAAAATGGTTTTACAAATATATTTAATGAAATAACAAAGAAAAATTTCCCTAATCTAGAGAAAAAATTGGGAAACAAGATCCAGGAGGGGACAGGCCTGATCAAAAGTGATCTTCACCAAGACACATGATCATTAAGCCCTCTTCAATGGAACATAAGGAAAACATCCTTAAATGTGCACGTGAAAAAAATATCAATTGATATATAAAGGAATGCCAATTAAACTCACAGGAGATCTCTCACAAGAAACTCTACAGGCAAGAAGAGAATGGAGTGACATATTCCAGATTCTAAAAGCAAAAAGTTGTCAGCCTAGGATAACATATCCAGCAAAGCTTTCTTTTGTCTTTTTAAATGAAATAAAATTCTTCCACAGTAAAGAGAAGTTAAAAGAATTTGCCTCTTCCAAACCTGCCCTGCAAATGATACTTCAAGATGTTCTCTTGACAGAGAAGAGGAATAGCACCAAACAAAACCAAAGGCAAATGTGAAGAATATCCCAGTAAAATGACAACAGAAAACTAAACCAATGAACAACCCATTCCTAAAATGACAGGACCAAAGTACCACACATACATATTAACCCTGAATGTAAATGGCTTAAGCTAAATCAAATGGCATAGATTAGTAGACTGGATCAAAAAACAAAACCCATCCATTTGTTGTATAAAAGAGACACATTCCACCAACAAAGATCAGCGGAAACTATATTGCATGGGTTTTGATGTTTTCTGTTAGTTTCATCTCTTCAAAACACCTTCTTCTGATTAAATTCTTCAGTAACTCATAGATCACACAGTAGCATCATTTTCTGCAAAAAGGTTCTTGATTTTCATTTCTTCAGCTACACGTTAGTTATTTAACTACACGCATGTTATTTAACTTCTTGGTGTTGTTAATTTCTTTTTTCTTCCTGATGTTGATTTTGTTTTGTGGCTTTTCATTTAAGGGGATGTATAGTAGCTGTGTAAAGGAGACTGTCATATCTAGTGACGTGTTATTTAACTTCATGGCATTGTAAATTTCTATTTTTCTTTCTATTGTTGATTTTGTATTATGACTTTTCATTTGAGGGGATATACGGTAACTGTGAAATGGAGACTAACATATGCAGATGTGAGGATACAATGTAGTATGCATTTCTACTTCCAGACAAAGATGGACTTACAATGAATCTGTTTACTATAGCTTGACAATAGTATGCTGGACTCTTTGCCATTGTCCATGCCCACAATGATGGACATATGACTGTGCATGAAGAACTATACTTTAGTAATGATATAGAGGAACTAGGCGTGGGAGAAAATTGAGGCTGGGATAAGGGAAATACCAGGAACCTATGGAACTGTATCATAAAATGATAATAATAACAATAATAAAATGTAAAATGTGAAAAACAAAAGAAACGGAGGCACATTGTGGACCAGCCTGCACTGATGACTGGAAGCACACTGGTGGACCAGCCTGCACTGATGACAGCATCCTCCAACAGATTCAGCTTCTATAAAGCTGTGGAGGGATGGGAGCACAGACTGCTGGGTACTGGGGAGTCAGGGTACCTGCCAGATGTGAGTTCCAACTCCACGTTTCATGAGCCACTGTGTCTGTGGGCCTCGGTGTCTGTGTTTCTGAAGTGGGAATCACATCCTTCCAAGGCGAATGACAAGGGCGAAATGGAATCAGGCTAATGAAGCACCCCATGCTGCAGATGTGGAGCAGGCATGAATGGGAGCAGCGGGGGTTGGGGCAGGTGGTGCTGCTGTTCGCCTGCCTCTGACGGGCTCCTCCCTCCTTCTACCCTCACGCCAGCTTGAACATGCAGTGGCCTTCATGTGGAAGCTGTGTGAAATGCCAAGCTTGTTCTGAGAGTCACTTTGGTTTTCTGGCCAGATGAGTGGCTAAATACTGTCAACTCTATCTTGGGACGTGAATAAATACCCAGCAAAGAGTGCCCTTCCTCCCTGCTTGACTTTCCCTTCCTCTTCTCTGTTATCCCAGACTCTGATTACATTTTGTGCATAGTGGAAATAGATGCCTCTTGATCTTGCAGTGGGCTCAGGGTCAGATAAAAGCAGCACTGGCCATGCAGTGTGTTGCTCCAGGCCATTTGCTTTGCCCCCTCGGCGGGGCACCTAACCCCTTAAAATATTTTCAGTGCAGCATGGACTGAAGGTTCTCATTCTCGCAGGTCCTTTCCAGTCTGAATCCCTTCCCCAGGTGTCTGACTGCTACTGGCTACTATGACAGTCGAGAGGGCTCCATTCTGCTTTTAAGTCACCCCATCCAGGTCTGGTCTTGTGGGGAAGGTGGCCACTGCTGCTATCCCCCTAAGTGTTGACTCCAGAGTGGCTCCCACTCAATCACACTTGAAGTGACAGTGAATGAACTTTTCTACATGGAAGGGGACTGGAAGACCTGCTTTTAGTCTCAGCCCCACTTTGGATGTCAGCTTCCTGTTCAGGTGCACCCCAGGAAGCAGCGAGTGATGGAACTAGGGTCCCTGCCACCCTCACGGGAGATCCGAGTTGAATATTTGGCTTCTAGCTGTAGCCTGGCCTAGCCTTGGCAGGTGTGTGAGGAATGAACTAGTGGATAGAAGATCTCTTTTTCTCTCTCTGTCTCCTCCTCTCTTTCAAATAAAATGAAAATTAAAACTATCTTATTTTACATAAAAGTTAAATTGGAAGGGAGAGAGAATTTTAAAGAGAAAACAAAACATTAGGAGTACCCCACAGACAGGAAGATAGATTTTTCTAAGTTAGAAAAGGCAAAGGTTCTGGTTGGGATGGAAGAACTTTGTTTCGATGCTAAATAAACATCTTCTTTGGCCCTTATCGGGGCTGAAGTGCATGGATCTCAGGCTTGTATATGTGTTGCATTATCCGGGAAGCTCCAAGGGAGCTGGAGCCCAGGGGGAGGGCTGTGCATGTCTGCTTTGTGGTAATTGCTTTTAAGTCCACTGGCTGAATGTCCCACGCATAGAGGGAAATAACCAACAATGATGAAATTGAGTTGCAGTGCAGAAAACAATCTGCCATGAGTAAGAAGCAAATTTCCAGGCATTCTGGGTCTGAATCCTTTAGAAAGGAGCTTTAACTCTGAAGTCAAACCAAGCACATGACCTGGTCATGGCCAAGTGGACAATTGTCCTCTCTCTTTTTGGGGGCTGGGGGGCTGGTGTGGTAGGTGAAAGAAGAGTCTTATTGTTCCAACCTGAGAAGGTTCCAGTCTGTGAGGCCTGTTTCCACACCCATCGAATGAATGTGATCTTATAATGACATAGCATGTGGCAAGAATTAGACATGGCACAATGCATACACCTGGCCCAAGCCCTTGCTCACACGCCACTACAAGCCATGCTGCCTGGGCAATCGCCTCTGCAGGCTCTGTTAAAGAGATGACTATGGGCACACAAGGAAAGCACATGTTCTGTATACTGTATAAGCACAGGTGTCAGATGGCACATGTGTCGGTGTGCACAGAAGACAAGCTCTTGAGGTGAGAGTAGCCTTTGACCAAAAGGGAAGAACCAGTTCTAAGCAACTTGGAGCCCCTCTACGCACAGAACAGGGGCTGAGCCTGTTTCAAGCTCCCTTCACAAATGTGACAGGCAGATAAATATCATTGGGAATGAGACTGTTCTATTCCTATGTACCAGGCTGAACTTGGGTTAAAGGAGAAATAAATAAGCATCTGTCTTATATTATCTGTGGGGATGGGGACAGCCTTGGAGGAGACAGCCGTGCTAGTGCCTGAGGAGATCCTGAGAGGGCAGAGGTTCCACCTTGCTCCCGTGAGAGTTGCAATTCTCTCCCCTCTCCATGGGGAAGAAGAGGGCCAAGCTCAAACAGCAGCGTGCAAGGCAACAACCCCAACCGTGCCTGCTCTCTTGCTTCCCTGGGTCCCCGACTCTCCCCAGTGTGCATGGAAAGGTAGTGAAAGGTTTTGTTCATTTCTCATGATGTTCATCCTGTAGCTTGGCTTCCTTCCTGATGTCTCAGATGGAGGAGACACTTCCAAAAACAAGCAGGATTTGCAAGCAAAAGCAACAGTGCGTATTTGCTTGTGATAGTCCCAGAATCATTTGGATACACAAAGCTTTTAGTAATTGGCTGGGAGAATTAGTTTAAAGTTGGCATAACACCTAGCTATCTGCATGCATGTTGTTAGTTTAAAGCAATTCATGTATTTAGATGCCATCAAGTTAATTAGGAAATATGTATTTGCACAGAACCCAAGTTTGGAGTGCAATTGAATGGATAAAACAAATCCTCCTCAATAAGCTAATGTGTACTCAAAGTTGTTAAAACGACCAAATGTTCATATTACAGCAATTATTTATTTTTTTCCTGATAAACACTAGCATATAAAATTATATGTCTAAACAAAGATTTTTTGTTTTAAACTATAATTCATTAAGCTCTTCCTAGCTGAAAACAAAAACAAAACACCTCTGTGGGGAGACAAGTGAAACAGGTAGATTGATGGATCAATAAACGGCTAGAGCAATTACAGAATAGAAGATGCATGCACAGTGTGCATGTGTGTGATTTTCTTACAATGCAGACTAAGTGTTGGGGTTGTGTTGCACACACACACATTTGTAGCAGGGACCCCATAGATCTCCTATGTTGCCATAGTTAATTGTGAAAGAAAAAGTGTAGGCTCTGGTTGGCATCACAGCATCTGAATTAGATCCTTGTTCTATCTCATCAGCTGTGCTGCCTGGGATAACTCCCTTTGATCTTTGAGTCTTGCCATATATAACCCCAGACTATTAGCATAGCATTGGCTTATGGGTTAAATGAGCCCCCCCCCCCAAAAGAAAACGATGAAGTCCTTACACAGACACTGTCACATGAAAAATCCATAAATACAAGCATGTCTAGTAATGACGAATTAGGTCACATGCATCGTGACGGCAGCACATGCCTGCTCCTTGTGCTGCATGGAACTTTTCTCCTGCACTGCACATGGACTCTATGTTATGTGTGTTCTCTGTTGCGGTTTATGTTGGATTGAACGCGTATTTGCATTTTCTATGTGTGTGAGCATTTTCTCCTGCTGCGTCATACCATCTCACTATCCAGCTCTGCCCTTTTGCATGTGCTCTTCGTATGTCGTCAGATGTTTATACACATTACATGACACTGCACACAGACTGTGTTTCATTCTGGCTGTTCCACTGCCATGCATGTGCACACTGTAATACCTCCTACATTGGAAGATGGGTCACATAGCATGACCCCCCATGGTGCTCCTGAAGAAAGCCACAGATTGACTCTGTTCAGTCCACATTTTAAAAATGGAATTGGTTAATAAGATTTAAAAATGCAAATATCCAGAATCAGAATCACTTTCTCTTTTACAACCTAGGCGCCTGGATGATATCAGACCTACTTAATGCCATGCTCACCAGGAGGTGAGGATGGCCTCCTCTTTTGGTGTGGTAAACCTTGTGGTTTGCCACGGTCCCTAGCATTCCCAAGTCTGCTCTGATTTGGACACATTGTTTATTTCACTGCATTTGTGCCCAGCCCACTGCACCCACTTCCATCACTTGTCTGGCCTTCACAGTCATCCGGGTTGCAATCCCTGGCTTATGAAAGCACACAGACCAGATCCCCTACTGACAGATTCAACAAGAGCTGGGCGGTTGGGAAGCTGGGCAGGACCCCATCGACAAGTCAAGAAATCCCTGCCTCTTGGAAGGCCCCAGTGCTTTAGTGGATCCACCTCCCCCAACAAGGAAATGAGCCCTGGGAATACTGACCCTGCTGATGGAGAAGAGCAGGCCGGGCCGGTCAGAGCAGACTCCTGTGAAGCAGAAGCGCAGCTTCCAGTAGAAGAGGTGCTCCCAGATGAAGGTGATGAGGCTGAGCGCCATAGCCGCCGCCAGCATGTAGAACACGCCCGCCATGTTGTCCACATCCAGCTGGCTGCTCATCACCTCGTTCTTCTCATTGTGGCAGATCCCCGTGAGCCACAGGGCCTCCAGCTCCTCCATCTCACCTGAGCAGAACACAAGGTCCACAGGCAGGCAGTGAGGCTTAGAGCACGCAGTCTGGGGCTAACCTCGTTGGGTTTGGGCATCCTGAGGACCAGTGACCATGCTTGCCTAGTCTCCACCTGCTCACTTGGTGGAGCAAAGATGTTAATAAGGATCCTACCCAGCTTCATCAAGGGAAGATGAAGCTACACGTGAGGAGGGTGTGTCCAGAAGTATGTGGACAAAGGAACTGAAAGATAAACTCACTTTGGTGCAAAAATTCTTGAAATCCATGTCAAGGAGAGGTCTTCAATAACTTTATGGAAAACAATTATTATGAGAAAAATACTCATGGAGGCAATTTTATTTTGTACCAAAATGTAAGTTTTATCTTTAATTCCATTTTTTGGTAACTTTTTGAAACACCTTTATACAATGCAGAGAACTTGGCATAGTTTCTGACTTTGGGCATTTGAAGCTATTTTGGGGATCTTTATTTGGGAGGGAGGAATGTCGTTATAATGTTCTCCCCATCTTGTTTTTCTCAACCCTTGGCTCCAACACACACCCACACTTAACAACAGAACGTGGGAATAAACTGGCAGCATGATACAGAGGCCAGGCTTCGTATCGACTTCCACTTCATCATTTACCGTGAGGTCAAAGTTCTCCTGTGTATGAAATGGGCCTACCAGTGGAGAGAATCAAACGGGATCAGTAAGTGTTAAAATCCCTAAAGTGAATCAAAAAATAATAAAAATAAATCTTTAAAAAAAAAAAAAAAAAGGGCCCGGCGCCGTGGCGCAAGTGGTTAAGGTCCTCGCCTAGCACGCCCGGGATCCCATATGGGCGCCGGTTCTAATCCCGGCAGCCCCGCTTCCCTTCCAGCTCCCTGCCTGTGGCCCGGGAAGGCAGTCGAGGACCGCCCAAAGCTTTGGGACCCTGCACCCGCGTGGGAGACCCGGAAGAGGCTCCTGGCTTCGGATCGGCAAAGTATCGGCCCGTTGCGCTCACTTGGGGAGTGAATCATCGGACGGAAGATCTTCCTCTCTGTCTCTCCTCTCTGTATATCCGCCTTTCCAATCAAAAAATAATAAAAATAAATCTTTAAAAAAAAAAAAAATCCCTAAAGTGCCTGGCCTATCGCAAGTTCTCCTAAACAGTCGCTTGGGCTACTACTTACCACTGCAAAGAAAATACCAAGAGTAGAAGTTGACATATTTCTATCTGGTAGTTCCCAAATACATTAATTTCTTTTTTTCCCCTTCTCTTTACAGCAACTACAAGCATTACACATGGGACACAAACTGAAACTGAGAAAAAGACATCTTTGGTTCTAAAAGGCCTCCTGCTGATCAAATATCTCCAGATCTCAGGCAACAAAAAAACAGCAGCTAGACTTTTCAGTAAAGGAAAAAAGAAGTAGCATGCTTAGCGTTATCCTGCCTCTCACAGGGATTTTACCTAGTAATCATTTTGGAGGAAATTTTCTTTTTCTTATTTTTTTTCTTTTTTTGAAAGATTTTATTTTACTTTTATTGGAAAGTTAGATATGCAGAGAGGAGGAGAGTTCACAGAAAGGAAGATCTTGCATCTGACTGTTCACTCCCCAAGTGGCCACAATGGCCAGAGCTGAGCTGATCTGAAGCCAAGAGCTTCTTCCCAGTCTCCCACATGGGTGCAGGGTCCCCAAGCTTTGGGCTGTCCTTGACTGCTTTCCCAGGCCACACACAGGGAGCTGGGTGGGAAGCTGGGCTGCCTGGATTAGGACCGGTGCTCATATGGGATCCTGGTGCATTCAAGGTGAGGACTTTCGCCACTAGGTAACACTGCCAGGCCACTGGAGGACATTTTCTGATTGAAACATGTGGGAATTGTACCAATTCTCCAGCAAGTCACCAAGCCATGACACTTAGACTTTAAGCAGAGCCCTTAAGACATAACCCTGAAGAGCAGTGACAATCAACAAAGATGCAGATCATATTAAATGTCAGATGTAACTAGCTTTTGTATGCCTGTGTATTTACATTATCTCTAAGATGCAGTAAGGGATAGAGACAACAAACGCCCAAAACATCCGTTCTCTTATGCAGAGGCTGCTTATGGACTGGACTTCGGTCTCTGGGATGTGTGGAATTGGTGTGCGCTGCTCACTGTTTGTTCTCCTTCCTGTTTGATTTGTCTGACCACTAAAAAGTCTCAGCTGTAGTTGTTGCGTTTCCCTTAGACTTTTGAAGACATTATTAAAACTTTCCTCTGGTCTGGACTGAAGTTGTCTAGAAGTTGGCTGATCTTGTTGTTCTCACTCCTTCTGTGCCGTCTGTATTTCTGAGGGCTGCTGAGAACTTCACGGCGTGGAATGGTGACGTGGGTTTGCTTGTTCTGCTTCGGGCTCAGGGTGACTCTTCGATCGGATGACTCACAACTTTAATTCTGGACCAAGTTTCGCCCATGATTGCTTGGATGATGGCTTCACCGTCTTATCTCTCCCCTGTTCAGCTCTCCTCATTCCTCCCTCTGAAACCCTGGCAGCCGCTGATCTTCCACTGCTTTGTCTGTTCAGAAAGTCCCATAGCTGGAATCACATAGCATGGAGGCTTTTTCAGATTGGCTTTCTTCACCCACAACTGTGCATTTAAGGTCATGCCACATCTTTTCTGTTTTAACACTCATCTCTGTTTCTTGTTGAAAAATATTCCATAACAAGAATGTGGAAATTCTTCATCCCATTCACTCAACTGAAGACTAGGTTGGTTGTTTCCACGTTTTAGAAATCATGGATAAAATTACTACCATCATTCATGTGTAGGTTATGTGGACATGTTTTCAATTCATTTGGGTAAATGCGTCCCAGAAACATTACTGCTGGAAGGTATGTAGTCACACCGGAAAAGAATAAGTGCCTTGGTTGCTCTACATCCTTATCAGAATTAATTGCCTGGTCAGCATTGAGGATTTTTTGCCCTTCCATCAGGAACATGGAGCTTTCTCATGGTTGAGAGATGACCTCTGGCCACTAGGTATGGCCTATGATAATCCTATTTTATTATTTTCTTGAAATTCCTGTTTAAAAATATTTTTTGATCTCTTCACTATGTCCTGGGTTATTCCCCTTGTTTTAATACTTTGCATCTCCTTATTGTTCTGTGCTGGATAATTCCCATTGACCTATTTTATACTTTGCTTATTCTTTCTTTAGTAACATTTAGCTTTACTTAATGTAATATTGAATTGTGACATTTATCTGGCTCTTTCACAGTTCTGTAGGTTTCTTCTATAATAATGTTTCAGATTTGTTTTAAGGTCTAATGTGTTTAATAATTTCAAACGCACAGTATTGCGATTACTTCATAGCATTTCCATTCATGTACATTTCATCTTCTTACTCTCCTGGCGGATTATTTACTTGAGGCATTTGTAACTTTCTATCGTAACATTCTGTAGATGTGTTGCTCCTCTAAACTCCAACACCCTACAAAGGATTAAAAGGTTTTTGAGTTGGCTTCAGTCACAGCTCCATGGGTGTTTAATGTGCCGCTCTTTTGGTATGCTTTTTCTTTCTTTTCTCTTTCTTCTTCTTCTTTTTTCTTTTTCTGTGATGACTACACCATTTCAGTGGGATCTGTTTGGAATACTGCATCCTTTTGAGTTTGGGTTTTAATTTCTTACTCAGAGCTTCTAACGGACTGAAAAACCTCCTTGCATTTTCTTCACTTCGATGGACAGAAATTTCCCAGTTTTGTTTTCATAGATGAAGTGCATAGTGATTGGAAGAAGAAAAAATAGGAAATTTACCTCGTCACGTCTTCTTCCCCCATGAAGCACTCTCATTCATCATTTGCACAAAGTGAGGGGGAGGGGCTATCTGGTTTCAAATCCTTTCCTTCAAACAATCTACAGCATGGCAATATGGGAGAGCCTGTGGCACCACCTTGCTGCCCACCCAGCTCCCCTACAAATCCATCCAGAACCCTCTTCTCGCTCTGCTCAGACACTCACTCACAGTTGGCTTCTGCTCCTCACCAAAGCACCAGCATCACCCCTCTCTTCACATACCACTGCTAGGTTGACTCATCCAGCTCCCAGCACACAGTCCCCGTGGTGGCATTCAAAGACAGCCAGGTTTGCAAGCCAGTAATGGGGGTGGTAGCCAGGCCTGGATCCTTTTCAGGCTGTACACACAAACATTTCCCTCTGCCCTTAGCCACAGCGACACCTCTCCTTAGGATAAGTCAGCTCAGTGCACCAGATCTGGACTTTGAGGACATTCTCATTTCTCAGTACCAGTTACAGCCTATTCCAATCATTTTCCAGTTAATCACTGCGTGCCTCATGGCCTTCTTCGAGTAGTGCACTGAACTGTAGTTCAAATACTTTCTTATTTCGTTTTTAATTTACTCAAGTATATTGTAATCTCCTGGAGGGAGGCCAGGGACCATGTTTTATGATTTTGATATTTCTCATGGCCTGCAGCATGCAGTAAGAATTGAATCTGTATTTTCTACTTTTTTTTTTTCCTTTGCTTATATCCGCAGGCTGGCAGGAATGCTCAGATCTGTTTGGTGAGTTTTGCTGTGATGTAAATGAATGAAGGAAGCACAGAGCTCAGGGAAACCTACAGTGGGCTCCAGCGCCAAAGGCTGGGGAGTGGATATGCCGTTAGCCAGGGTAAGCAGCCAAATGCCATGCTTCCAAGGAGCAGCTCTGCGGAACTGAATTCCAATGTCAGTCTTTCCCATTACAATAAAGGGTTCATGATCTTTGTCGGTAGGATCCTGTGAGTCAGAGTTGGTAAAGGCGTAGTTAAATCTCTCTCTTGCTGGCAAGACACAAGCTAAGTGTTCTGTAAGCAGACAGAGCATTGCATCAACAGCTGTGGGTTTGCAGCCCACCATGTTGCCTTCTTCTCTCTACATGGGAATACTGGTCCCCCTATAAGGCTAAGCCTTCTCCATTTCTGCTAACCTGTCTGTTGATGGAGAGCTCACAAACATAAAACTCCTGTGCAGCCCCTAGGGAGCTA